GATATTTTCATTAGATCCTGGTATATTATCCAATTTTCCTGGTCCAACCCCCAATATTTCCAGGGTACAGATATATACATCTGGAAAAAAATTTAAAAAATAATCCGAGACTAAACCAGAGTTAACCCTGAACTGACTGCAAATTTTTAAGAGTTTTCTCCGTTTTAAATAACACTATCATGGGACCAGTTGTTGGATAGGTATTTTCATTAGATCCTTTGTTCATAACCCGTTCTTAGACCCGGACGTTTGCATCAATTATCCTGTCATCCGGGTTCGTCCCTCAAGAAAATAATAATTTCCCGGAATCAGGGTAGAAATAAATACCTCTGGAAAAACTATACTAAACTAGAGTTAAGCCTGAACTGATTTCAGGAAATTTTGTCAGAGGGGTTTCTAGGTTTATTATGCTTTGTTCTAAATTTTTTTTTCGAAGTAGGGAACATATTACGATATCGGCAATTTGGCATTCTATCAACTAAAATTAGGTATATGACATGCAAAATTCCTAAATGGGTCTTTTTCAGGGGATTTAAAAAAACGGATCCAAAACTTCAATAATTTTTATATAACTTTCGAGCCGTTTTAAATAACCCCATCATGTAACCACTTGTTGGATAGGTATTTTCATTAGATCTAACCTATTTTGCACCCGCACCCGGGTCATTTATCCGATTATACGGGTCCCTAAGGAAAATTTTTCCCGAAACCAGGGTAAAAATACCAACCTCTGGAAAAAATTTTAAGCCTGAACTGATATTAGCAAATTTTTAACATGTTTTTTCCAGGGCTTATATTATGCCTTACCCCCAAATATTTTTGATATTAAGAACATATTACGGCTTTGACCGCCAAACTTTCGCTCCCTATTAGTTCGAAATTCCTAATATTTTCTGAGAACATTTTAGTAACTTGAGTCCATTTTATTCCTAATTCAGCCAAGTAACCCCAAATTTCTTGAAAATTAGAAAAATGACTTGTCCTTTCCTATTCAGAGCTATGGTGACTCTTCTGTAAAAAATCTGAAAATTCCTCGAAAATCAGAAAAAAATACTTTTTCACTGTCAATCCGAGCTATGGAGGCTCTACTGTAAAAATATTTGCATTATTCGATGATGAGAACACCCCTTAACAACCGCACTTATTAATATGCAGTAATAGCTTTGGGACGCGCACACAGAAAAAAAAATGACCCATTTAAATGGCATCCACCACTTATATTTTTTCCTCATTTGAATGGAAATAAATACATTTAAGTTAATTAGTGTATGCATGTATTCACATATGTGTGTGTGCATATACACATGTACATGTGAATATTGGCATTTTTCATTCAAATGTATTTAATTAAAATGTAATGAATGAATATTGTCTATTTTTGTTCCCACACTTGTGCAGAAATGGAATTTGAAGCGTTTGGGTGACGATTGCGAGAGAGAGGGAGGGAGGGAGGCAGAGGGAAATAGTGAAAATATATATTTAAAGTGAAAATATGACATATCCAATACATAGGCTCATTGAATAAATTAATATTTATCCGAACGAATTTTAATACCCTTGAGAATAGAAATATTTAAAAGAACACGATGTTCAAGATTCTGAATCCTTTATCTTGGTATGGAATTGATTTTTCCAGAGTTCTAGAAAAGTGGTTAGATCGATTTCGAACGCCTTGAAAATATTCTCAGTTGAAAATATTTAGGCATTTTTTCCATATCCATCATTCTGAAAAAAAATTTCAAAGTACAGCAGCCATATTGGTAGCCAGCCATATTGGTAGAGAGGGTATGTAACGTTTAATACTGTCAAAACGTACCTAATAGAAATAACGATTTTAGGCCCTAGGTCTCTTTGGACCAAATCCACTTCAGGACATTTGGAGTCAATGTAGCGATGTCCGTCCGTCTGTCTGTCTGTCTGGCTGGTGCGCACGATAACTCCCGATTTGGTTCAAACTTGGTTCATCGTAATATTATTATCAAACTCCCACTCCTTCGTCTACCTCCAGCATAAAAGGTCTACATTTTGAATATCCATGAAGTGCCAAATTTCATCACATTTGGGCTAATATGGAATTTGGCACTTCATGGATATTTGGTGTGGTGCACAATAAAAGGTAAATCGGACGAAGATATATATGGGAGTTATATATAAATTTTGACCGATTATTTCAATAGGGTTCGTCCTTGGGTCAAACAATTGACTTGTGCAAAATTCCATCCGGATCGGGCAATAAATGCGACCTGTACTTTGTTTACAAGAATATATGGACAGACGGACATACATTCATTATTCGACTCAGAATGTGATTCAATGCGTATCATCAGAAGGAACTATGGGGTTTCCATTTGCCTGTTACAAACAAATGCACAAAGACATAATACCCTGACCACCATGGAGATATCTCAAATCGGAGATATCTCAAATTTCGACTCAGTCTCCGATTGCAGCCAAATTATAAAACTCCGGCAAATAGAATCCATCTCCGACTATGCAACTCTGACTGAAAATAATGAAAATTAGATTCTTGCAAAGGTCAACATTTAACGGGACCATGATACATGGTCGAACCTACCCTGATCTTCAATAATAATAATAATAATAATAATAATAATAATAATAATAATAATAATAATAATAATAATAATAATAATAATAATAATAATAATAATAATAATAATAAGCATGTATTCAGAATGTAGTGTATTGAGAGGATCCGTGAGACTATGTTGAAAATCTTTCAAAAAGAGCCCTTTGCTTCCATATGCATGCCATAATAGCACTTGAACCGATACGTTATCTGGATTATCCTTTGGAGCGACCCAAAATATAACTTTGTCCAATTTCTCATAAAAACTTTGAATTTTAAAAATTCCTTTTTTATTTGAATTGCCATCGCTGGACTCAAAAAATAATCCTTGAACTTTCAAAAAAGGACATAAATCGGTATTCAGAAGGTAGTGTATTAAGAGGATCTGTTAGACTATGTCAGAAAACTTTTAAAAAGTTTTTGTTGCCACCATATGTATGCCATAATATCACTTCAACCGATATCCGGTATATGCTTTATTCTGAATTTAAGACATTGATTCAAATATAACTTTGCCCTATTTCTCATGAAAACTTTGAATTTTAAAAATCCCCTTTATATTAAAATTCCCATCCCTGGACTCAAAAACGAATCTTTCCTGAACTTAAAAAAGGAAATAAATAGGTATTCAGAGGGTAGCGTATTAAGAAGATCTGCTAGACTATGTCAGAAAATTTTCAAAAAGATTCCGTGGCTTCCACATGCTTGCCATTATAGTACTCGAACCGATACCCGTGATAGTATCTGGATTTATCCTGAATTTAAGACATTGATTCATGTTCTATGCAATGGCCCAAAGTCCCTAAATATAACTTCGTACTATTTCTCATAAAAAGTTTGAATTTTAAAAAATTCCTTTATATCTGAATTCCCATCCCTGGTCTAAAAACGAATCTTCCCTAAACTTTGAAAAAAAGGAAATAAGTAGGTATTCAGAAGGTAGTGTATTAATAAGATCTGTTAAGCTATGTCATAAAAATTGCAAAAAGATTCCGTTGCTTCCATATGCTTGTCATGATAACACTTCAACCGATACCCGTGATAGTATCTGGATTTATCCTGAATTTAAGACATTTATCCAAATCCTCTTTATATTTGAGTTTCCTGGTCTCAAAAAGACTTCCCTAAACTTTCAAAAAAAAATAAGAAAATAAGTAGGTATTCGGAAGGTAGTGTATTAAGAGGATCTACTAGACTATGTCAGAAAACTTTCAAAAAGATTCCGTTGCTTCCATATGCATGCCAAAATAGTACTTGAACCGATACCCGATATAGTATCTGGATATATCCTGAATTTGTCATTCATCCAAATCCTTTGGAGCGGCCCAAAATACAACTTTTTCCTATTTCTCATAAAAAAAACTTTGAATTTTAAAAATTTTCTTTATATTTTAATTGTCATCTCTGGTCTCAAAAACAAATCCTCCCCGAATTTAAAAAAAAAGGAAATAAGTAGGTATTCAGAAATAGGTAAGGTAAGATCTGCTAGGCTATGTCATAAAAATTTCAAAAAGATTCCGTTGCTTCCATATGCATGTCATAATACTTTAACCGATACCCGTGATAGTATCTGGATTAATCCTGAATTTAAGTGATTGATCCATGTTCTATGGAGTGGGCCAAAGCCCCTAAATATAATTTTCTACTATTTCTCATCAAAAGTTTGAATTTTATATTCCAAAGCGCAATTTTTTGATTTGTAGCAGGGATAACCTCTTTATAGACATCGTTTTCACGCTTAACTTTTCGATTCTCTTGGCACATTTAATTCATTTATTTGTCTGATAAAGTCCAAATAAGCAGTAGTGAGTATTTCGCAGTGAAGGTACCTTCCACAATAATAAAATTAAATTAATCTCTCTTCTTTTTGTGCGGCAAAAATACAAAGCCAATGAAGAAAAAGTTGGAATTTGTTAACAAAAAACAAAATTAGACTGGGTCAATAACATGCCACCAAGTAATGGTATGCGGTGCGTACATTGTAGGTGGGGAGTGGAGGGTACGGAAACAACTTGTATTTGACACGATTATGAATGGTGTTATCAAAACAAACAAACGACGAACAACAAGAAAAAAGTGCAAAAAGAAATTGGGAAGAAGAAGAAAAAAATAAATGTGAACAAAAATCAATGGCAAACAACACAAAAGCAGTGCAACAACAACATCAGCAGCAGCAGCAGATACAAAGAGTATTGGCCAGTTTGGAAATTCGCTTCCAGCTGCTGCCGCTCACCAAACAAATAAAGGAAACAATAACTTCATAACAATCATTAACAGTCATTGGAATAATCGGAAAAAAAGTTTTGACGGATGTTTGTTACTTTGTTCCTCCCGAAAGATTAATTTCACTGCAGTCTTTGTGATGTCTTGTAACTAATTATTGTTGTTTTTTTTTTTTTTGCAAACTTAGTTGACTTTAAAATAAGAAAATACAAAAAGTGTGTCTGTGTTGGACATTTTCATTAAAAACAAACTAAAGAAAATCCAAAAATTTCCATTAATAAAGACATCAAAAAAGAAAAATCAACACAACAAAAATGTTGCCATCATTATAGAGCATTGCTTGCCGAACGCCCCTAACGCTTGATTAACAAATCAGGCACAGTGGGCAATAAAAACAACAAATTCACACAAAACGCACAAATCAACCACAACAGCAACAACACCACCCAGCACACCTCAGCACCCGGTGGTGGTCTTGTCTTTGCACCAACAGTCATTTGTCCTCTACAAAAGAAAACAAGAAACGCACAACGAATTGACGGATAGAACAAAAAGTCCTTCAAAAGGATACCAACAACTAAAACAACTGTTTAACGTTATCTCGAAAAGCAGACATCTCCAATAAAAAAACACAACGCACAATGGCACGCAACAAATGTCAAATCACTTTACGTCTATTCCTTAAACTCTTCCTCTTTGTGGGTATCATTCAAGAGAATTTAGGTGGACCCATGAACGCATCGGGCTCCACGACCACAACGCTGCCAACCTTTGAGGTCGAACTCTCCTCACCAGTGCCATTTACAACACGTAAACCCGAGATCTCAATACAGGCAACCGACAACAAAGATAAGCTCGGCCATGCCACTTCCAACCTAAACGATACTCCTGCAAGCAATGCTGTGACGACCAGTACGCCTCAGCCGGTGGCAAGTGACACCGGTGACACTTCCAAGGATTTGAACAGTGAGGACACCAACTATGATGATGGTGATTATATTGAGACTGATCTGAAACCGGAACGCACAACTCCAACATCGATGGAACAACAGGATGGTCCGGCCATACCACCTACGACGATAACCTTTAGTAATGTTGCTGCCGCCGGCATTTTGGGGGATTCCAGTGCTGATGGTGGTGGTGGCGGCGGCAGTTCATCGATTTCAATAAATGATGCAACCCCCCCCTATGCGGCAGTTGATGATAAATATGGTAAGATTACTTTTTATATAGTTTTTGAGATAATATGTGGGAGATTAAAAATTGAAATAAATAATCGAATATTGACTTCACATAAATGCCGAAAAAATGTCATCGATGCCGTCACAAATTCCGTCGGATGGAAAAAAAAAACATTTTCCTAATAACTCTCATATTAACATATGTTCAGAACCATTATTTTAAAATACCTTCAAACACCTATAAAGACACATATCAAAGACATAATAAGGTAAAGACTAGACCAAATTTATTGTGGAAAAAGTATTGAAAAATGTATATAGGCGCTGCTTAAAACAGGGGCATGTTAACATATGTACACAATTGCAGATCAGAATTTCGAACAAAAAAAAAAAAAAACTAAAATTTTTTGGCTTAATATTTTATCCAATTTACGTTTTCAATTAATTGAATATTGAATTGATGTTCAAATCACATTATTGTTTGTTGTTTTTCCCAAAATTACAGAAAGAACCGAAACGATTATGAAAGTATAGCCAAAAATATGAAATATTTACATGGGAATGTAACTAAAAAAACAGCGATAAAGTTCCATTTATTTTAAAATTTTGTAAATATTCGAGTTAACTTTCCTTGGAATCCATATCTTATAGCTCTACAGGGTTGCCCATATTCGACGGACCCATCTGGCAATGCCATAACTTTTGACAGGGATGTCACATCCCTTAATGACATACCGCGTTTGAAGCGTCAGTCCAAGCAGATTTTTACCATGAACCAATATAAGCCACGCGAGTGCTCTGAAATAGTTGAAATTTACATTCAACAGATAAGTCCATTGTGAAAACTCAACGTGCTTTTAAAACATTAAAAAATGTGAGAAGTGCGCCTTCTTAGAACACCATTAAGCGTTTATACGAAAAATTTTCGACTGGTAAGGCTCTTTCTAATCCGAAGAGGCCATATAAAAGTCGACCAAGGCGATCGGCCGAGAATATCGCTGCCGTACGAACCAGTGTTGAGAGGTCCCCAAGAACATCCCAAAAACGCCGTTCTCAGCAGTTGGGCATGGCTCGGTCCACTTTACAACGGATTATTCGCATTGATTTGCATTTGTTCCCGTACAAAATTCAATTGACGCAAAGAATGTTGCCTGCGGACAAGCCTCGTCGATTGGAATGGGCCCAAAGGTCCGTCGAATATGGGCAACCCTGTACACTGCCTTACCAATGATAGCAAAAAATGCCGGAAATATCATCAAATTTTAGAATAAGTTTAGATTTGTTCGAATTGGTCACCTTTGGCACGAATTATGGCCTTCAAATGGCCAATGAAACCGTCACACGCTGCCCGAATGTTGCCCTGCGGTATTTTGGCCCATTCCCGGCGAAGCGCTTGCTTGAAGTGATCGATACTTTGGTATTTTTTAGAGCCAACCTTGCTTTTCCAAATACTCCAGACACAATAGTCCAACGGATTGGTATCCGGAGATTTTGGTAGCCATTGTGCACTGGAAATGAAGCGAGGAACCTCATTTTGTAACCATTCTTGGGTGGCGCGTGCTGGGTGCGATGGCGCTGAGTCCTGTTGGAATGTCCAAGGTCTGCGGGCAAAATGTTTACATGTCCAAGGCTATAATACACCATCCAGAATATTTTCTCGTTAATATTAAGCATTTATCTTGATGCCACGGTCGATTAATACGAGCGAAGAGCGACCACTGTTATGGCGGCCCAGACCATCACCATGCCCGGCGCATGAGTTCTGGTGGCCAACCGAAGGTGCACATTTTCAGCTGAACTCTTTGGCAAGTAAACACGATAATTTTGTTTGCTTACAAACTGCTGGAGAACGAATGTTTTCTCATCGGAGAAAACCAAATTCGGCAGTTCACCACTTTCGGCCCAGCGAAGCAACTCTTTAGCTCTTTTGAGTCTATTTTCTTTCTGTTGCGGTGTAAGTTCTTGCACTTTTTGGAATTTCAATGGCTTTACGCCGAGCTCATTTTTCAATATTTGCCAAATGGAGTATTGCGATATGTTCAGCTCACGTGCAATTTTTTCGGCCACTGCGACGAGGTTTTCGATCAAGTCGCTTCTTTACTTTTCGAACAATTTTTGCTGATGTTGCTGTTTTCTTCCGTCCACTTCCTTGATGTGGAGCTACGGCTACCAGTATCACGGTAACGAGCGATGGTACGAGACACAAAAGATTCATTCACATTTAAATGCTGGAGTGCCATTTGTGGTTTTCCAGCCAAATATAAAGAAATCAGGCTTGAATTCCATCACAAATAACTTTTATTCTGGAAAATTCTCACAAAAAATGCTTTTGTACGCTTGTAAACAATATAATGAGCCGTCACTGGAATAAGTTCACCAGCTGTCGGACGAGTGGCTTATAGATGATAGCAGTCTGAAGTTGGTTGCTGTTTTTTCATCTCACCCTGTATATAAAATATCCGCATTCGCCATTTCATATTCACCAATTTCCGAATGATCTAGGTGGCTTTCCGAGTTCTGTAATGAAATGTCATGAAAGACAAGGGCAACATCTATATGCCAATCTAATAACAATATGCTATGAATTAACAAAATGCTAAACGTTCAGCCGATTCAGAACTTTTGGTGGTGACATCTGTATGTCAATATGGTTTCCAACATTTACACAAAAATGTGTTCTACACAATATCTTTATGATATGGTCTTATAGTTTCGGACCCAAAACTACAATTTACAGTCATTTAGTACGTAGTATTTTCTTTTTATTAATATTTATTATTTATAAGCAATTGGTTGAATAACGCCATTTCATTATGCCTGACGACATCTATATGTCAATATGGCAATGCCGTTAACTGAGCATCTTAGCGTCTTCTTTTAACGAACCCACGATATTAAATTATGCAGCCGTTTCCCTCATTGCAAAATCATATCTTTTAGTGGTGCCGAATGCCATCTGCTTTTCAAACATTCGGTTTCCAACATTTGCATAAACATATCAGAAAATGTGATATCGAATATATTGTCATATAATCTTCTAGTTTCGAACCCAAATTTACAGATTGCAGCTATTACTAATAAACAATTTAGTTTTTTTAAATTTAAAACGTCAATATCAAGAGATTCTTTTTTTGAAATAAAGCTATCTCCACAATGGCATAATAAAAATATTACATGTGGGACAGTCGTACCTCCCTTTCATGTGACATTGTTTTTAGTGAGTTTCAAGCGTTCTGCAATAGTCTATCTTTTTCATAAGAAAGCCTTATAGTTCGTTTATGCCAATTTATATTATATTGTCAGGAGAAAACAGCTAAAACAAAAATTTAGAAATTTCGGAACACCATCTTCACGTCATTTTATTGCCAAGTCAGAACATTTTCTGAACGTAACGTATGCTCTACACAAGTACAAGTTTTATTTATTTATCATAAAAAGTATTCTTCTTTTCTATGAAATGCTTCAGGATCGGAATTGCACGAAAGATATAATCAATTTGATTCCCGTTTCCCCTTGAATATTGTCTACATATATATTACGATAAGCTTTCCAAAATCTACCCCACACTGTTTGTTTTCTTCGCTTATCACCTACAGGTGATTGAGTACAATGGCCGAACCCTGGTTAAACATCAACTCTCATATATATATATTTTTTTTCTAATAACAAAAATAATAATAATAATCATGATGTCTTGATAAGGAGACAAATAGAAAACATGTGCTACCCTCTCAACAGGTGAACTAATAAATTGTCATACAAATTCAGGAGAAAGCAGAGAGGTGACGTCGTAGCCTGCTGACGAAAAAAAAACACAAAACAAAAAAAAGTCTGTGATAAGTGGCTCAAATAAAAAGCCTGCCGCCAAAACATGTGTATTAACATTTTAATTACAATTGATAAAACGATGGGAGTCCAGGCTTATCTGTTATCACCCACATGTATAGGTTTATTTTCGTGTGGGGGAAAATTGCACAATTTCATGGGATCATTGATTAAATAGGAACAGCTGCAATTTTTTCTCGCAGTTAAATGGAAATGTTTTAGATTTTAGAAGATAGAAATCCTATTGTTATGATAAATATTCACATTCGAGCAATAACTCAACTGTTTTTGATATTTTCTTATATGAATGATGCATACTTTCAGGCAAATAGTTATTAACATTTTGTTGAAAGATACAGTGTAAAAATCTTAAAAATCAAATATAAAAATTTCTTTTTCGTGAGGGACACCCTCTGTACACCAATTAAAACAATTTTGTAATATTTTTGACATTTCTATAAAGGTGGCCACATTAAGTATATAAACTTCTTTGCCGCGATGGACAACGCTTTAAAAATTATTGAAAATTTGGAAATTTCAAATAAATTATCACAGAAATAAGGAATACCCATGTAAATGTTTTTGCATTTCTAACTTAATCATGATTGGCGCCCAATATAATATATATTTACATGTAGTAAAGGAAACTATTTTAGAAATCGAAGTATAGATGGCGTTTTCGATTACATGGCGTTTTTTATCTTACAAAACAGGGAGAAGGAAGCGAGATAGATCCATAGTTACTTTTGAGGATCTTCATAGGACCACTTTCTGAGTAGATTTATGCATGTCAGTCCGTCCGTTTGTCCATATATTTTTGTGAATAAAATGCAGGTCGAATTTATTATACGATTGAGATGACATTTTCCAAACAATATTTGTTTAGCCCAAGGACGAACCCTATTGAATTTGATTAGAATCAGTTTAAATTTAGATATATCTCCCATATATCTTCAACCGATTTCGGGTTAATTGTGCACCAAATGGCCAATATCTGTTCAAATGACCTGAATTTTCGCACATCCGACCGAATTAAGTTCAGAAGTCCCTCACACTCGTAGAATGCACTCCACAGTAATGATATGGTACCAGATAACTTATGGAGCTCAAGAAAACCTCTGTCAAATTTTATCGTAGTCGGATAATATCCTAAGCTCCCATACATATTATTATCCGATATTAGGTTTTTTGTGCACAAAATGGCTA